AGAGTGTGTAAAGTTGCTTGTTGGTGCATCCAATATGATGAAGCTCACAGGCCACCAATGGGTCAAGTAGTTCAAATCCTTGAGGGCGTCATTGAGGTGGAGTTGCCTCCACTTCCGCGGCATCTCCACTTCTTTGATGACAATGAGGAGAACGTAAATTTCTTTACAGAGTAATTGGCAAGATAAAGAGCACCTCCTCTTCAATGTTTTCAGCCGAATAAAAATGCCGACATTTCTTTCCCTGTTGGTTTTGTTGTAAGCACTGCCTTTTGTTCCATCAGGTGCCGTTTTAGCCACTTGTGCACCAGTGAAATGTGCAGCAGTTTCACTAGTGATAATTTAGGTCCCGTTCACTTTGCTAATTCGAGTTTAGAAGGTCCATTCCTTTTTTATTTACCAAAGTTTCAGTTGTGCCGTATTCAGCTTATTGGATGATTGGAGAGCAAGAAAGCAACTCATAAATTAATAGCTTAAATTGTGAGTTTATGCTCATATATCATATCCACATGATTCATATGGGCGTAGCATTGACAAGTTATAGCTGTAGGAAGGAGGAAAATTTAAGGCGCGTTTGGAATCCGTTACAAAATGATTTTGTTTTTTGTATGAAAATGAAAATAAAAACGTTTTCAATCTCAGACATGAATTATTTTTAAAAATATGTTTAGTAGTTTTATCAATAGATTATTTTCAGTATAAAAAAACCCATTAATGTCTCTCTCTCTTTCTGCTTGAGAGAGGAGAAAACGAAAATTTTAATTTTTTATCTTTATTACGTAAAACGTCGTTTTAAAAACGTTTTTATTTTTTATTTTTTAAAAAATATGAAAAATAAAAATGGGATTAATTCTATATACGGTCTTTTTATTATTACTTGTATATTTTTCTGTTCCTTGTCCATGTTTTGGTCCACAATTAATGTTTGTTGTTTTTGTCTTTCCCTCTTTGTAATGACAGCAGTTAAAGGTTAACAGCGATAATTAGGGAATCAAAAGAATATATGTGGATAAAAAAAAAATCGACTAACACACAACAATAACATGTGCAAACTCATTTGTAGAACTCCATACATTATTCTTCCTCAATATATAATTATTCTCGCTCTTTATATCTATCTTTCTAGCTTCTGATCTATTTGTTGGTTGGAGGCAACCTCTCCTGTATATCTCCTGGGAGGGGAAAAAAAAAAAACCCAAGAAAAAACAAAATCTGTCTTGAATGTTGAATTAATATGAGAACAGGTATATATGGAAGATTTCGTGAATCACCTTGCTGATTCAGTTGACCTCCCACTCCATGATGCACATTCCTTATATATTACACGTCGAATAGGAAAGTAAACAACAACGAAGCTTGAAAAAAAATAATCTTCATAAATACTAGCTGAAAATGCATGTGTCAGAATTTTTATTATTTACTCTTGATTTATAACTTTTTTTGTTAAATAATTATACTAATAAAAAAATATTTATCAAGAATAAAGGGGAAGGTCCATACTCATACACTCTAAACGGTAAATTCTTCATTTCTTCTTAAAAAAATTCGTGTATTACATTTTTTTAAAATAAAACCCACAAATTCAAAAAATCATCATATAGGGAGCACGCAGAAAATAAACAATAAGAGTATAACGGGTATTACATATATCAAATACAGAACTAGATACTTTTGTAATATTTTGTATAAGTGGACATTTTTAAATTCAAGACATATATAGTAGATATTTTATGTAATTATTTTTTAATTTTATTTATAATTTTAGAATAAACTTTCGAGATTAGTACAAAAGTGGGCCTTTTAAGAGCCTTAATTTATAGGGAGAAAGAGGGAAATAAGCCAAGACTTGAGATGAATTAAAATTAATAGGTCAATAGTTTACATAAGTTAATAAATATGTCAAATTATTATTTTCGTCTATAACTTGTCTGGTTATGAATCATAACTTGACAAGTTTGTCCATAACTTATCTGGTTATGAACCATAACTTGACAAATTATGACCTATTAATTTTTATAACTAAAAATTGGCCTATATACTTTCTTAAGCTTTTTATATTGGCCTATTTTCTATTATTTCCCTAATTTATATGCCCAAATTGTATTACCTCTCCTTTTGAGAAGGGGAAAGGAGACAAATGCATTTTACTCTTGATTAATATATTTTTTTAATCAAATCATTATATTAGTCAAAAAATGTATTAATCAAGGGAAAAAAATTTAAACCCACGCTTCAATAATTTTCTCTTTTAAAAATTACTCTTCATGGGAAATTTATCAAAGCAGATTTGAAGCATAGCAATTTTTTTTTGAAATACTTTGGAAATACAAAAATTACATTGTAATCATATAATGATACGTTTTATACTACTAAATTACATAGAAAATATTTTAATAATATTGATTTTTACTATTTATAAAATAGTATAATTGTTCGCTATATTTCACCATTACTAGTAAACTTTGTTATATCTCTAAAATGCACTACGGTGAGATCAAGTGAATATTGACCACATGTTGGGTTGACGGTCGAATTTCGTCAACAAGACTTTATTGGATTACCCCGCGGTAGCTCGTTGGATTACCGATTTGAAACTTGTAATTTTACCGAATTTACTAGAGTTTGTATTGGTGTACTGTGAAGAAACCGTTACAACAGTTATGAAAATAAAGACGAAGAAGTTTTATAGTGGTTCACCCTCCTCAAACCGAGCTACATCCATTGTATTATATTTTTCTTGTTTTGGTTATTACAAATTATACGAAAAAAGGATCCCCCTCTCTCACGGGGGCTTTGCCCCTTTTATAGCAGATATTACATAAGCTTTGCCCAACGGTAGGCGGTTTGGACCATTTGACCGTGTCTTCCAGGAGGCCCATCCACTTGAGTGACCTATGGCTTCATTTATCTAGACCGTAGCCTGTCAACACATTTTGGACTGTTCACTCATCCAATTTGTCTCCCCATTACGGCTCTATAGATCCCCTGTAATAGCTAGTGATTCGTTCCAGGCGGTTTTAGGGGCTCGTAATCATTTCCTATGCAACTGACATTCTCCAAACTCAGACGCAACCTTAGAATATTCCGCCGATCACCTCAGGAGTCTTCCTTGGGAAGCGGGTCCAGTTGCTTACGCTTAGCCCTCTTTTCCTATTCCAAAATTTGCCACGGGTAGCCTCTCCCACGGTCGGCTCTATCGCGTTATTTTACACGAGCTGGTCTCGCATGCCTCGACTGTATATAGGGTCAACGGTCTCAATCCCCTTATGCACTCGGCTCTCATACCATACGGGAGAGACCAATGAGACTCGGGCGTCGAGGGCTAAGTGACGTGACAGGTGTGAGGTTACGTGTGGCATAATCGTTGTCCGACGCGTCAATGTGAATTTTTCTACATAACATGTTGGATATATAATTTTATGAGGTCGCTAGGATCATCTTATCATAAAAATACGGATCCACTGTTTTTGTAAAATCCGTCATTTGCCTAATTTAATAAAACTTGTTACTGAGAAAATGCTTTGAAAAAGACCATTTACTTTAAAACCCCAAAAAGAAAAGGGAAAGAAATTAGATCCCCAGGATAAAATCATACGCCTACGGTAAACATTGAAAACATGGACTAAGCCAGTAAAGACCCAGTGGGGCCAATATGACTAGGGCTAACAATTCGGGTAGTGACACGACGATACGACTCGAAATCCGCACGAAATTAACGGGTTTGAGTTTATCATAAATAGGTACGGGTCAAAATCAGGTTGAACCCGTGAAACACGATTAAATAACGTGTCATTTTCAAGTTGACCCACCAACCCGCAATTGACCCGTCATAACCCGTTTATTAAACGTGTCATATTTGGGTAACACGAATACACAACCCGTTTATTACCTATTTTATAAACATGTTCAAAAATAGGTTAACACGACTCATTTATCACCTATTTTATAAACATGTTCATCAATAGGTTAACACAACCCATTTATCACCCATTTTATAAACCGGTTGACAGGTAATCAATGAGTTGACACGACACATTTATGACCTGTTTAATAAACGGGTTATTCGTGTCGTGTCGTGTCAACCCGCCAATAAACGGATCGTGTTTAGGTTTTGTATTTTGACACGATTAATAAACAGGTCGTGTTCATATCAAATCTATTCGTGTTAACTGAATGAATCAACACGACACAAACACAATTCACCAACCCAAATTGTCATCCCTAAATATGACCCCCACTCAACTATTTGTTTTTTTGAAGTTGTATTATCGTAATAAACGAGGCGAGTCGAACTATTTTTTTTCTCGCTTCCACTTGCTCCCACATGTCTGCTCTTCCTTTTTTCTTTTTTTTTTGGCCTCTTTTTTCTTTTGCGTTTTTTTCACTTTATTACATATACCAAAGGAAAGTTCGGGGTACTGTTCATACAGACCCAATCTACTATTATTTGTACAGTGGAGTGACGATTTTACCTTTCTTTCCCTCCTCTTTCTTCCTTCCGTGCAGGGGCTGCTTGGTCTTTTACTTACATAGTACAGTGTATTGTCCATTTTGCTCTTTCTCCCACCACACTTGGCAGGGGGCTTTTCGGTAATTTTGGTCCACATAAATCCCTAGGCTTTCTAGCTTCTTCGATCACTCAACCGGCCCTTTCACCCTCGCCTTCAATCTTTCATTTCTGATCTTTCTTCTTCTTTTTCTCTTCATCATATTTGCGAGAGTTGGATTCTTCTTCTTCTTCATCTTCATCTTCATCTCGTTGTTTCTTCGTTAGATTCGGGAGAGAGAATCATCTTAGCATCAACTCAAGGTTTGGTCTTTTGGTTTGCTCCTCATTCTTTTCGTTACCCACTCAAGTAAGTATCTCTTCGTCCTCTGAAGAATGGTATGATTTTCAATGGTATTCCTGATTTTTACAATTCTTTAGAGTCGCCAATTTTATTTTGTTTTCTGGAAATTTATTTGGGGAAAAATATTCTATCTGTTGTTTGGTTGCCGAGAAATAAAAAAGCAAGTGAGCATGGAAAAGTTTATGGCTTTTAGATTCTCGACGTGAAAGTTTTGTTTTTTTTTTTGTCTGGTTGATGATCGGTAATTAATGAGAAGGATGATCAATTGAGGCTATTGATGATCAAGGTAGAGTTTTGGATTATAACTGATGACTTTTTTTTTTTTTTTTTTTTGCTTATATCAATCCATTGTTTTCTATAAGCCAAAGGTAATTTTTCTTCCACACTATTTATCGGAGCTTTCAGGTCGTATTCCAATTCTATGTCCCCATGATTCGATTTTTTTTTTTTAGATTTTGTTTTTTGGAAATTTATTTGGTGGACAATATTTTATCTGTTGTTTGGTTGCCGAGAAACAAAAAAGCAAGCGAGCATGGAAAAGTTTATGGCTTTTAGATTCTCGGCGTGAATTTTTTTTTTTTTTTTTTTTTTTTTTTTTTTTTTTTTTTTTTTTTTGATGATCGGTAATTGATGAGAATGATGATCAATTGAGGCTATTGATGATCAAGCTAGAGTTTTGGATTTTAACTGATGACTTTTTTTTTTCTTGCTTATATCAATCCATTGTTTTCTATAAGCCAAGGGTAATGTTGCTTCCACACGATTTATCGAAGCTTTCAGGTCGTATTCCAGTTCTATGTCCCCATGATTCTTTTTTTTTTTGGATTTAGATCTTCTCACGAAAGATTACACGTCCGATCAGAAATTCTCCGTCTCCACCTACAACAATGCCGGCGTGGCAAGACAAATTTTGTTAGTATTTTTGCTCAAAAATTGAATTTTTTTGTTTTCTTATATCTTCTCAACTCAGAGCTCTTCTGATTCTCTCTCTAAACAGTGATTTGCACTTCTCAAACTGCGATTTTTGCTGCTTTAGATCTTCGTTTTGGTTTTCGTTTTTGGTGTTTTTATGGCTTTGTGGTTTTGTGGATTGAGTTTGGTTAGTTTATGTTCGAATTTTTTTGCAGAATAAGATTGGTTTGACTGGTTTGATTTGGATTTAAAATGAAATTTTCTGGTTTGGTGAAAAAATTTCAGGTGGTGAAATGGCATGCAAGAAGATCAGAGAGTACGATTCGAAGAGATTGTTGAAGGAGCATTTCAAGAGGCTCTTTGGCCGTGAATTGCCGATCAAATCCGCTCAGGTTAGTATTCGATTTTTTTTATCTTTTTTTTTTCGAGATTGTGTTCCTGTTTAGATTATAGATCTCGAATGTTAAGCCTCTTTTAGCTTTTTTCATTGCATTTTTGTAATGGTGACTTTCATGGCGACTTGATCTCACTTCAATTGTCAGGATTTGATTAATCTGGTTCTGTTTGTGTATTTCTTTGTTGTGAACTTAGTTTATCTTATATATTTAGGATTAAGAAGGTGTAGTTCATCATATTCAGAATTAGAATGTAGAATTTTGATTTCGTCAACCGTTAGAGAGTTTTTTTTTTCTCTTTCTTTTTAGAGAAGAATTTTCTGGATTTGTGTTTGTGTCTAGCTTTGCTGATTAAATTGTGATTTTTTTTTTTGTTATGCCATAGATTACCGAATCAACCGATCTCAATGAATTAGCAAACAATAAGCCTTGGCTTTCGTCTTCCAAACTGGTTGTTAAACCCGACATGTTGTTTGGAAAGCGTAGAAAGAGCAGCTTGGTTGCTTTGAATATGGACTACGCTCAAGTTGCCACTTTTGTCAAGGAGTGACTTGGCAAAGAGGTATTTTTATGTTTTCCCTTTATTTTCATTCATGCTATACTAAAGAGTTTTAAACCGAAGGTTGTAAATTTTCTTGAGAAGTTGACTTTGAGCTTAGCTTTAAACTCTGTCTTTGAACTCTTCCGAAATAAACTCTTTTCCTTTTTTTTCCCTCTATCTTGTTGTAATAGTGTATTGCTTTTATGATTTATTTAGGTTTTAGGTTTTAGGTTTCTCTAGACCGACTTAGTGCAGTTACATGTGATGTTCTTACACGTTATAAACTGCTTTAGTCTATTTTCTTCCTGTTTATTTATAAATAAATGCTGTTGTGTATGAATCTGTTTCATATATGCCTGTTGACGTTCGATCATTTATTGCTCTATTTCACTTTGGATCATTTATTGCTTTATCATTTCATCACTACAATTAATACTCCTCCTGTTCGTGTCTGTTCGTATTTGTTTGGCTGATATTCTGCAGTTCAGGTAGTATTTAGCGCATTCCAGGTGCTATTAATAATCTTTGCCTACATCTTTTTAATGTTTGTGGGCGATATTGAATGTATTGGTTTACTGTAATGATATTAATCTATGATGTTTGTGTTTTTATTCTTTTTTGTTTATATTTGATTCTGTCATGTTATTAATGGATGTTGCTGATATATAGCACTCACATAAATTGTCTTCTGTTGTTCTGTTGTTAATAAATGTTAGAAATTTATGTCTTATCTTTGATTTTCATTATTAAATATTGCTGAGATATTGACTTTGTGTTTATTTATTTCTCTGTGATATATATAGATATGCTTATTTGACATATTTTAGCTTAAATTAGTTTTTTTATATGGCGACGGTCATGAGTTCTATCTAAGCTGTCTAAAAATTGCTGTGGATATGTTTTCCTCAACTAAATTTTGATTTGTTTATCCATTTTGGCTAAATTTTTTTAGCTATCTCTCTTTTTTTGTTTCCATTTATTCAAATGATTTGGATACTTTCCATTAGTATTTCATTCAAGAGTTATTTAGATATATATTAATTTTATTTTACTTATTCTAATGCTTTTGTGTTTGTGACATTATTGTTACATTCAAAGAACTTTGGTTTTATTTTTCATTATTTATGGTTTTAAGTTTTTCATTTGGTACATACATATGTTTATTTGATATATTTATTTGATATATTTCACCTTTAATTTTTTTATGTGGCGATGATGATCATAATTACTTTTGACATGTTGAGTTTAATGTAATTTGTCTAAAAATTGCTATGAATGTCTCCTTCACTTGAACTATGATTGTATCTATTTTTTTTTCATTAAAACTTTTTGACCATCTCTTTTTTATTCATTTAACTTATCCTGATGCTTTTACTTTCGTAGCATCATTAATTCATTCAAAAGTCATTTACATATACATTAGCTTTTTTATTTTTTATTTTTATTTTTTTACTTATTCCGGTGGTCTTGCTTTCTCAGTATTACTATTTCATTCAACAATTTTTTTTTTTGCTCTGCGTTTCTCTATCAGTTTGACCTATTTTGGATTTGTGGTATTTCTGTTTTAAGTATTTCAATCAAAATTTATTTCTTTGTATAACATCTTTACCTTTTTTACCTTTTAGTTTGTTTTATTGTTTGATTTTGAATTATTCAGTTTGCTCTTTTTATCTCTTTTTTCCTCACTTTCCTGTGCGAAGGCTTTTGAGTCTTTACCTGTCTTATGTTGTGATTGTATACTTTTATCATCAATTTTTTTTTTTATTTTTTATTTTTCATTTGTTATTGGTTTAGGCTTCTTCGATCATTTTGGAACAAATGAAATTCTAGACTTTATTGCTTATTCAATGCCTTGATTCTGTCCACTTCTTTTATTTTACTTGGGCAGAAATGATAGGCTTTATTGTTTCTTCGATGTTGCTGTTTTTTGTTTCCAAGGTAGTTTTTAGACAATCTTACATTTACTCCAGTCATTTATTTTGTCTTACATACATATAATAATCTGTGTGGCTTACATACATATAATAATCTGTGAGGCGGATATAATTGGGTAGTTGCCATCAGTGTTTTTTATTCCGAAAAAAACATTTATCTAGGCAGCCAAAAAAGGGCCATAAAAATATAAGATAATCCATTTTTACACATTACTGAGAATTCTGAATGTCTGAGCCACATTTGCTACATAAAAATATTACTATATTTATCTCTTATTCATGTTTTTGCTGTTTTTCTTTTTTTGTTTATTCATTTATTTATCTATATTTTTTAGATTTTTTTAACTTCTATTTTTTTCTTTAAGTTAAATTTATATAACCAAATTTTATTACAAAAGACTAGGGCTGTAAGAAATCACCTCGAACCCGACGAACCCGGCCAAGCCGAGCCGACCCTACTCAAAAATCACGGGTTTCCAATTTTTTATTTAATTTTTTATTTTAATTATGCCTAACCCGCACTGCGCGGGTAGGGGCGCGGGGTGGGGTTACATGAACCCGAGGTAACTCTACCCGGCTGAACATGTTCAAAGTAGGTAAAACAATGTCCAACACTTCAAATTCTTACTTTCATAAGTTTATGGACTTTATGCTTTTAAACTGTTAACTTATTTATGTTTTGGATTCACGGCTTGTGTAAAAAATGCTTGTATGTCATAGTTGTTGAATTAGGACATTCTTTATTTATATTGGAAGTGTTTGATTTTAAAGTGAGTATTTTAATTGTTCACCTTGCATTTAGACCCCCCCTCTTGAAGGAAAGACATGTTCTGTTTGATAATGATTTCTTCTGTAACAAGCACAGATTAATTGACTAAAAATTGATTAAAATTGATGAAGTCATAGATTAAAATTGGTTTTCACCAACCCGAGTAACCCGACCCTACCCGAGGTCACCCGAAAGGTTGCGGGTTTGTAGACTTAAGAGAGTGTCACGGCATAAAATTTTCTCAACCCGCACTGGTCGGGTAGGCCCAATTTTTCGGCTCAACCCTATCCTACCCGGCCGATTTACACCCCTACAAAAGACTTTTAATTTGTTTGTTCATCTATGAAGAAGGAAGCTGAAGACACACAGATAGAAATAAGAATTTGTTTATTCATATATTGTTTGTATTGTTTATTCATGAAGTTAATTTATGTATTGTCTTTATCTTATTAATTTGTTTTATACATAGTTATACATAACATTGTGAATTTTAGATTTTAACCGTTGATGACCGTGGACATTTTGATATTATTTTATTCCCAATAAATTATAATTGTAAATATATAATTTGATAAATTTGTTATTACAAAATTATTTGCCTAACTATTTACTATGAATTTTAATATATTGTAGTTAACTAGATATAGATGATTTAGGCAAACATAATTTTTTACTTCTTATCGCTGAAATAATTACATATTCTAATTACAATATGGATAAGAAAAAAAGAAGCAGAAAAATAAAAATTCAAATACATTATAAAAAACTTCTTACTACAATATTATATAGATGTACATATATATATATATAAATATATATATAAACTAATTCTTTACTATAGAATTTTTTTAACTTTTTATATGATCTAACAATATTTTCCGCTTTTTATATAATCTAACAATATTTTCTACTGTAACGCCCCGGGTGAATGACTAGTTACTTCTATACACTTTCTTATTTTTTCCAGCTTATTTTTCAGCTTTTTTATTACTTTTTCTAATTCTTTTTTCCTTTTCTCTCTTTATTTTTTTTCCTTCTTTTTATACTTTTTCTTTTTCTTTTTGTCAAGAACTTTCCTATAGTTTAGTTACATAACTAGTGGATTATTGCACAGATATGTAATAATTTAATTAATGTATAAAATAGATATTTAAAAGTTTTTACAAAACATGATACATAGTAAAAGTTTGATTTATAAGTCGTTAACTTTTAACACATATATACATATTATTTACATGTTTGTATATAAAATATACATACTTATTTATAGATATACAAAAGTTTATTCACATATTTATTCTTTTCTACTTTTGCTTATTATTTCTGAGCTGTAGTTAAGAAAAATGAAAAGAACAAAACAATTATTATTAAATTGTAATCGATGTTAATAATGGTGTTCATATTTACTAAAATATTTAATATAATATATAATACATAATTTTACCTGATTTTTTTTTGACGAACTTACAAAGGAGGTAGATTCGTGGGGGACTGAAACGGGCTGAATTGGCTGCGAAACTGATGTGGTTTCTTTTGAAGACGCCCTTGTTATAGGAGGTAAGTACAACTGAGGTTGATCATCGTTAAAAGTTATTAAAATAACTTTGTAGATAAAAGCACATCGAGTACGAAATTGTATGACAGACAACATAAGCAGTACAGACAAAGAGAAGAAAGATAAGAAGACATTTGTAAGCATGACCGAAACCAATTCGAGAAGAGTGACCGACGAAATATTTGAGAACAAAACAAAGATGAATTTGAGTTGAGTTATGGTAACTTGAGTGCAGATCTTGAGTTATAACTTAAGTTGAAATTATAACTTGAGTTTGTGTTTAATTGTGTACATTTGAGTTATAGTTTGAGATGAATATCTTTTTGAATTTATGTTTGGATGTATCAAAACTTGAGTTTGTATTTAGATAATATTTTAATAAATACTCAATGATGATGAAAAATTTTAATACGGTATATAGGTGAGATTTTATTCTTCTCTTCATTGTGAACGCATAAAAAAAATCATCTTAATCGGAATTAAAACGAAAAAGTTATAGCGTTTTTAAGAATATAAAAAATAATGTTCATTTAACTTGAGTTTGAGTTTAGAAACTTGAACTTAGATTTTAATCCCAAACTCAAGTTAAAACTCAAATTTTACAAAAAAATATAAACTTGAATAAAATTGTAACTTGAATTTAAAATTTTTTTGAGTTTAGGTGCTAATGAATAAGCTTGAAAACATTGAAAAATTTATGAAAGAACTAAAAAACAAAACCTAAGAGGTTCAACGTCAAGATCGACAACATGAAAGCAAGAAATACTGCTGTGGTAAAAAAGCAAGGGCAAGATGGCATGAAGAAAAAGAAAAGGGACAAAATCTGAGAAACTTTAGAAAAAATGACCAAAACTGGGGAACAAAAAACAAACGCATAAATAAATAAATAAAACAAAAATCCTGCAGTAAAATAAGATAAAGAGCAAATAATTTCAGAGTAGAGGATGACAATAACAACACAAATCCTCAATAATCCGAGCAACATCAAAAACCACTAAATCGTTATAAACAATTACTCGATAAATGGTAACAGTAAAAGAAGATAACATCATCATCACCGTTAACGACGTTAATGTAAAAGAAGAACAAACTATTGACAAAACATGATAAGTAAAAGAGCATAAATCTTAAATAATTTGGGTAACATTAAAGCCTGCTAAATTACTATAAGTAGTTACTTAATAATACATGACAACAAAAAAGAAAAATACTACATCATGATCAAAGAAGTGACATGAGACACATAACAAAATCTTGACAAATTAAGATAACAAATAGAATAGAGACCTAATTTTTACTCAAATAACAATAACTTATATAATATAAACATTGAACAATATGTTATAAATAGTATTAAAACTTAATACAAACGCAATCATAACAACATAAAACATAGAGCACATATATTAACAACTCAATATATGCACATAACAAATCATACTAATATAATACGTACTTACACACAAAGTCGAAAGACTTAAACAACGTTAATATTAAGCAAGAAGTTAAAAATAAAATTAACACAATCAATAGAAACGCAATCATATTAAGACAAAAAAGTATGTAGCTATATTAATAGCATAACAGATTAACATAGGAAAGCAAAATAATACAGTATATACAGATTTTAAAACATTTAAGAAACATATGTAAGAATTAAGAAATAAATACCTTAGTCGCAGAAGAGCAACAAACGGAATAATCCAGGAGAAGAACAAAAATTGCAAATAACGAACAACCAAGCAGAATAACACAGTATTGAAAACTGAGGAGAAGGAAAAAAGAGCAGAAAAGGTAGAATATAAAAGTTCGAAGACGAAACCAAAGAAAATGGTAGAAACGATAATGAAGAAATGGAAAGCAATATATATATACAAACAGAACGAATGGATGATAAATCTCCCGTAGCATGAAAGCCAAATGGAAAGCAATATATATATACAAACATAACGAATAGATGATAAATCTCCCGTAGCATGAAAGCCACCGTAAAAGAATCAATAACCAACGGACAATAAAACATTAAACACCCGTTATACAGATTTACAGCACATGAAAAACAAATTTGTGATCACAGCTCGATAAAAAATCCTGCAAACAAAGAGTAATCCATATAATCATTAGTCAACAATCCGTGTTACAATGCATGAGAAGCACAAAAAAACACAACCAATAATCAACAGACAAAAAGAAACTATATATATAGTATAAAAATTTACAGCATCAGGAAAACACGCGTCAAAACAAAGAGATAAAAGATAACGGAAACTTTAACGGGTTGGATTCAAACAACCTAAAAATATATTTATATAATGCAAAAACGATTTTTACACTCTTTTTATCCATTATACTTTTTTATTTTCAAAGATTTTGTTTATTAATTTTATTTTCAGTTAGAAATTCACTTGTTCAGATGCTTTATTACCATGGTATATCGCTTTTATAGCTCGCTATTATTAGTGATAAGTAGTTTATCTTTTGTTTTCAGCAAAAAGAGTAGTTATCTTTTGTGATAGATATTGTCATTTATTTGTGTGATATGTTGTTTACGATATTCTAAGTTTTTTCGTTTATATAAGAGACATCTATATTTGAGGAAGATCATGTTTTAAGTTTTTCTACTCCCAAAAACATTTTTCTTTTTTTCTAGAGCGCTGCTGTTTTTAAAATTAATTGTCGTTTCAGAAATATTGTCGTTCCGTAAGTTCTTATGCCTCATAGGCTCGTAATTCCGTAAGTTCTTACAGTTTTCGCAACATTCAACTTCCTTCAGATTGCCGTCTGAAAAGTCCTTGTCGTTTCCAGCAATGCACTATTGTTTACAGGTTGTCGTTGTTTTCAAGGTTCCGACATGCATCTAGATTTGCTTCATTTTTTATAAATTATTGTTGTTGTTTTCAAATGTTGTCATTCTAAATTTTTGGTCCTTTATATAGTTTTTTCATTTTCTTTTAAACATACTGTCAAGTTTTAATATGATGTCGTTTGAATTCTAAAGAAGAAGAAAAAAAGCAATCGTTTGCAACTTTATTGTCGTTCCAGAAGAACCTCGTCGTTTTACTTGATTGATGTAGTTTTTTAAGAGTTGACGTTTTTATCAATGCGTCATTTATGTTATTATTATTATTATTATTTATTTATTTATTTATTTATTTATTTTTGTTGGGGGTTGGGGGTGGGAAAATTAGTCGTTTAGATTGCTGAGGCTGTAAATATTTGTCGTTTTCAAGTACTTCTATATATGGACATAGCTTACATATTTTAATATAATTTCATTAAGAGAAAGGACTAGTTTCCTAAACAAATGACGTCGTTTTGTGGTGATTGTGAATCAGTGACATTGTTCTACGGTTCGATTCTGGTGTCCTTTAAATCCCATCTCATTTTATGTCCTTCTAATCATATATTATGTCACGTTAGTTAATTAAAATATCATTCCATATGTACTAAAAGCAGGGTGGAGCTGCATTGCGTCCATGGTAGAGCTGCCTCTGGACCTAATGGCTCATTCAAATTTTGCCCCTAAAATTTTTTCCCTATTTTTTCTTTTTTTTAACTATTTGCCTCGCTGGAATTTTATAAATTGTAATATTGAGTTGGAATAATTCTTAAAAATATTTCATAGTACTATGCAAACTTACACTAGTGGGACTCTAAAAGTTAAAATGTGAAGTTAAATTTTATGACATGCTTAGTTCATTCATAGGAATAATAAAGTAGATAATAATACAAATTGAACAAAGGTAAGACAAAGTCAAGAATATATAATTACATTGTAATTTTAGTTCAACATTTTGATTCCATTATGTTATTCTTAAAAAAAGTTCTGGCTTCGTCACTCATTAAATGTTATGTTAATTAAAATATTATAGTTAATGTGATATTATATTATTGGGGGACATTAAGGAGGACTACGTGTGGACCGAATCCTTGTTGGCGGCGTTGTATTTTTATCTCGTTGTTTTTAGAATATTGTTCTTGTCGTTCATCTATATAATTGTGGTTTCTAAAATCTTTGTCGTTTTTAAGAGTGACCTTGTCTTATTTTAAGATACATTTTAGCTTGTAATAGCGTTACCCTTCTAGAGAAACGGTCTCGCTTCTTATGATTTATTGCTGTTTCTTTTGTCATTTTGTAACGTTGTTGTCGCTTGTGAGAGACATCGACGTTTTTGACAAGAGTGTTGTCATTTGTAAAATATATTGTCGTTTATCCCTTATTAATGTTGTTTTATGTAACACCGTCATTTTCTATGGAATTGCCATATGCTCTTGACGTTCCCCGTCTCCCTAAAGTGCCGCGCCACCCATCAGAATCTGATATCTCTCTTTGAAATCCCGGTGGTGACTATTCTCTGCTGGTTAGTGCATGAAATCAATGCCTTTGTCTTGTCGTTTTAAACGTAGTTGTTCTTTTTGTGTTTTTGTCGTACTTTTTAAGTTTGTCATCTTATTGAATGACCATTGTAGGTAACATTAAACTTACGGTCGTCTTTTTTCATATTCTATCGTGGTTTATGTGACATGTTTCCGACTTAGTCTCTATATTTTTTATGTTGACAATTCATATCTCATCATTTTTTTTAAGTTCTATAGTTTTTATGAGAAATTGTCGCTTTCCCCTTTACTGTTCGTATGATTCTTTAAATCAGTTGCAAAGTTTGTTAGAATGATCACTGACTGCAAACATAAACTATTCTTGTTTTGATATCTCGCTAATATTTTCAGTAGGAATTATATTTATGTATTTCCCTCGTCACACTGTCATAGGATCATAAAATCTGCTCTTCTGACTAATTTGCCTATCTACGATTTATGTGATTTCAATTTTAAGAACTGTGAGTGTCAATTTCCTCCACACAATTATTTCATGCAGCTTTCTTTGACAATCTCCTTGTAAACTAACTTCTCACATAATCAACAACGGACATATTTTGTTTTCTGTTTTTTTGTTTTTGTTTTTTTGTTTTTTTGTTTTTGTTTTTTGTTTTTCTACATGTAGTGCGATACAACCATTAATATTCTTAAGGAAATTTTAATGGTAAGGACTATCTCCAGTCAATGTGGGGTTCTAATACGCCTCCTTACACACATTGTGGACCATGCCGTTTTTTTGTTTTTTGTTTTTTTGTTTTTTGTTTTTCTACATGTAGTGCGATACAACCATTAATATTCTTAAGGAAATTTTAATG